GCAGTACTAGTCGTAGTAGTCGTTGTTGTTGTAGTTGTAGTAGTCGGCGTCGCTTCAGTAGAAGTAATATTATTAAAAGCAGTAGGCGTAGTAGTAGAAGCAGGAAAGAATAGTAGTGGTTGTAGTAGTAGGAGTAGAAGTAGAAGTAGTAGTAGTAGTAGTAGTAGTAGAAGCAGTAGTAGTAGTAGTAGTCGTCGTCGTCGTGTCGTCGTCGTCGTAGTAGTAGTAGTAGTAGTAGTAGTAGTAGTAGTAGTAGTAGTAGTAGTAGGTAGTAGTAGTAGTAGTAGTAGTAGTAGTAGTAGTCGTCGTCGTAGTACTAATAGTAGTAGTGGTAGTAGTAGTAGTAGTAGTAGTAGTAGTAGTAGTAGTAGTAGTAGTAGTAGTAGTAGTAGTAGTAGTAGTAGTAGTAGTAGTAGCTGTAGCAGTAGTAGCAGAAGTCGTAGCAGTAGGTCGAAGTGGTCGTAATTTTCGTAGTATTGGCCTCAAAAGTTGGTCCTCCTGCAGCCCTCGAGAGTTGGCCCTTCTAGGGCTTATTTTGGCGCCAAGAAAAATCAATAAGGGCCCCGGGAGGGCTCCAAGAAGGCCCCAAGCGGGCCTTTATAGTGGCCGAATGCGAACTCAAGAAGGCCCCCAAAGCGCCCCCTTCCCCTAAGGATTTTCCAGGACTCCCGTGGATTCGCAAATATTCTTAAGGATCCCAAGGAATCCCAAGGACCCTAAGGAATCCTAAGGACCCTAAGGAATCCCAAGGAATCATAAGGAGTCCCAAGGAATCGAAGTACTTCTGAAGAAGAAAGATGTACTTCTGAAGAAGAAAAAGATACTTCTGAAGAAGAAAAAAAAGTACTTCTGAAGATCCCATGGTTGAAATTTGTCCCATTTATGGTTGCAAATCGCTCCGAACGGTTGGAATTGGGACTAGTCGGTTGCAATTCGTCCCATTTCGGGGAGAGGGACGGGGGGAGGAGGAGGGAGGGGGGTTTAGGGAGAGAGGGAGGAGGGGGAGGGGAGAGAGGCAGGCCGGAGAAACGCGAGGAGCCACAACCACAGATGGCCCCTCCTCCTCCTCCTCCTCCTCCTCCTCCTCCTCCCCCTCCTCCTCATCCGCCTCCTCGCGATCCGTCTGGCCCCTATGGGCCGCCAGGCATAGCAGAAAACCGAAACCCCGACACAAACTGAATCCATAGTTTCTCTGATATGGCATGATGCAGCATGGAAGGTGCGCAAAGCGGGAGGCTCTCAGGGTGGAATGATTATGGCGCTGGCGGAACGCAAGATTCTGGACGGCCATCTTACGAGTGTTTCGGTGATTCAAGGAGCCTCTCGTAAGTTACCCCGGGTAGCCCGCAGTTCCCTGAGCGCCGAAATTCAAATGGGTACTATGGCCAACGAAGCTCAAGAATATGCTCGATTAGCCTGGTATGAGATGCTACACGGACGACAGGTACCTGTCCACGAGATCAACGAGTGCATCAAGACGGTGTCCGGTACGCTAGTGACTGACTGCAAGGCCATGTGCGACAGTGTGGTGAGACAGTCTGGCCCCAGCGATGCAACTGATGACGTTGGGCCCCAGTTTGGGAATCAGCAGCGCCACAACCTGCTGCCACTGCTCCCTTGTCTCGCAGGCGCGGCTGGGTCTGGACTCCAGGCGGGGGTGGGGCGGGCGGGGGACGGAGGACGAGGGGGCGAGGGGCACGAGCCGGGCCCGAACGGCGAGGGGCGAACGACGCGGGGGAAGGGGGCGAACGAGACGGGACCGAGACGAGGGGACAGAGGCCGAAGGAAAGGCGAGGGGAAGGGGCGGTGGGCGTCGTCGGTGCGCGCCGTCGTGCAGGTGCGCGTCGTTGCTGCTGGTCGTTGCAGGTGGTGCCCGTCGTTGCTGGGGGTCGTGTTGCCGGTCGGAATTGGTGCTGGTCGCAGTCGTGGTGGTGCTGCTGCTGGTCGTGGTCGTGTTGGTGGTGCTGCTGCTGGTTGCGGTCATGATAGTGCTGCTGCTGGTCGCGGTCGTGGTGCTGCGAGTCGTAGTCGTGGTGGCGTTGGTGGTCGCAGTCGTGGTGGTGCTGGTTGTGCTGGTGGTGCTGGTCTTGGTGGTGGTGCTGCTGCTGCTGGTCGCAGTCGTGGTGGTGCTGCTGCTGGTCGCAGTCGTGGTGTTGCTGGTCGCAGTTTTGGTGCTGCTGGTCGCAGTCGTGGTGGTGCTGCGGGTTGCAGTCGTGGTGGTGGTGCTGGTAGTGGTTCTGCGGCTGGTCGCAGTCGTGGCGCTGCAGGTCGCAGTCGTGGGGCTGCTGGTCGCAGTCGTGTTGGTGCTGCTGGTCGCGGTTGTGGTGGTGCTGCTTGTCGTGGTGGTGCTAGTCGTAGTAGTGGTGGTGCTGGTTGTGCTGGTGGTGCTGGTGCTGGTGTTGGCCGTGGTGGTGGAGCTGCTGGTGGCAGTCGTGGTCGTGCTGCTGCTGGTCGTGGTCGTGGTGTTGCTGGTGGCAGTCGTAGTGCTGCTGGTAGTAGTCGTGGTGGTGCTGCTGGTCGCGGTCGAGGTGGTGTTGCTGCTGGTCGTTGTGGTGCGGCTGCTGGTCGCGGTCGTGGTGGTGCTGGTTGTAGTCGTGGTGGTGCTGCTGGTCGCAGTCGTGGTATTGCTGGTTGTGCTGGTGGTGCTCGTCGTGGTGGTGCTGCTGGTCGCTGTCTCGGTGCTGCTGCTCCTGGTTGCGGTCGTGGCGCTGCTGGTCGCAGTCGTGGTGCTGCTGGTCGTGGTCGTGGTGGTGCTGCGGGTCGCGGTCGTAGTGGTGGTACTGCTGGTCGTTGTCGTGGTGGTGCTGCTGCTGGTCGCAGTCGTGGTGCTGCTGGTCGCAGTCGTGGCGCTGTTGGTCACAGTCGTGGGGCTGCTGGTCGCCGTCGTGTTGGTGCTGGTGGTGCTGCTGGTCGTGGTGGTGCTGCTGGTCTCTGTGGTGCTGCTGCTGGTCGCAGTCGTGGTGGTGCTGGTCGTAGTGGCGGTGGTGCTGCTGGTCGCAGTCGTGGTAGTGGTAGTGCTGGTTGTGCTGGTGATGCTGGTCGTGGCGGTGCTGCTGGTCGCAGTCTCGGTACTGCTGCTCCCGCTTGCAGTCGTGGTGCTGCTGGTCGCTGTCGTGGTGCTGCTGGTCGTGGTCGTGGTCGTGGTGGTGCTGCGGGTCGCAGTCGTGGTGGTGGTGCTGCTTGTCGCAGTCGTGGTGGTGCTGCTGCTGGTCGCAGTCGTGGTGCTGCTGGTCGCAGTCGTGGCGCTGTTGGTCGCGGTCGTGGGGCTGCTGGTCGCCGTCGTGGTGGTGCTGGTGGTGCTGCTGGTCGTGGTGGTGGTGCTGCTGGTCGTTGTGGCGCTGCTGCTGGTTGCAGTCGTAGTGGTGCTGGTCGTAGTCGTGGTGGTGCTGCTGGTCGCAGTCGTGGTGGTGCTGCTTGTGCTAGTGGTGCTGGTGGTGCTGCTGGTCGTGGTGGTGGTGGTGCTGCTGGTCGTAGTCGCGGTGATGCTGCTGGTCGCAGGCGTCGTGCTGCTGGTGGCAGCCGTGGTGCTCCTGGTCGTGGTCGTGGTGGTGCTGCGGGTCGCTGTCGTGGTGGTGGTGCTGCTGGTCGCAGTCGTGGCGCTGCTGGTCGCGGTCGTGGGGCTGCAAGTCGCCGTCGTGGTGGTGCTGGTGGTGCTACTGGTCGTGGTGGCGCTGCTGCTGGTTGCAGTCGTGGCGGTGCTGGTCGTAGTCGTGGTGGTGCTGCTGGTCGCAGTCGTGGTGGTGCTGCTTGTGCTAGTGGTGCTGGTGGTGCTGCTGGTCGTGGTGGTCGTGGTGCTGCTGGTCGTGGTCGTGGTGGTGCTGCGGGTCGCTGTCGTGGTGGTGGTGCTGCTGGTCGCAGTCGTGGTGGTGCTGCTTCTGGTCGCAGTCGTGGTGCTGCTGGTCGCAGTCGTGGTGCTGCTGGTCGCAGTCGTAGGGCTGCTGGTCGCCGTCGTAGTGGTGCTGGTGGTGCTGCTGGTCGTGGTGGTGGTGCTGCTGGTCGTTGTGGTGCTGCTGCTGGTTGCAGTCGTGGCGGTGCTGGTCGTAGTCGTGGTTGTGCTGCTGGTCGCAGTCGTGGTGGTGCTGCTTGTGCTGGGTGTGCTGGTGGTGCTGCTGGTCGTGGTGGTGGTGGTGCTGCTACTGGTCGTAGTCGTGGTGGTGCTGCTGTTTGTCGCAGTCGTCGTGCTGCTGGTAGCAGTCGTGGTGCTGGTCGTTGTCGTGGCGGTGCTGGTCGTAGTGGTGGTGGTGCTGCTGGTCGCAGTCGTGGTAGTGCTGGTTGTGCTGGTGGTGCTGGTCGTGGGGTGCTGCTGGTCGCTGTCTCGGTGCTGCTGCTCCCGGTTGCAGTCGTGGTGTTGCTGGTCGCTGTCGTGGTGCTGCTGGTCGTGGTCGTGGTCGTGGTGGTGCTGCGGGTCGCTGTCGTAGTGGTGGTGCTGCTGGTCGCAGTCGTGGTGGTGCTGCTGCTGGTCGCAGTCGTGGTGCTGCTGGTCGCAGTCGTGGCGCTGCTGGTCGCAGTCGTGGGGCTGCTGGTCGCCGTCGTGGTGGTGCTGGTGGTTCTACTGGTAATGGTGGTGGTGCTGCTGGTCGTTGTGGTGCTGCTGCTGGTTGCAGTCGTGGTGGTGCTGGTCGTAGTCGTGGTGGTGCTGCTGGTCGCAGTCGTGGTGGTGCTGCTTGTGCTGGTGGTGCTGGTGGTGCTGCTGGTCGTGGTGGTGGTGCTGCTGCTGGTCGTAGTCGTGGTGGTGCTGCTGCTGGTCGCAGTCGTGGTGCTGCTGGTCGCAGTCGTGGTGCTCCTGGTCGTGGTCGTGGTGGTGCTGCGGGTCGCTCTCGTGGTGGTGGTGTTGGTGGTGGTTCTGCTGCGGGTCGCAGTCGAAGCGATGGTGCTGCTGGTCGCCGTTGTGGTGGTGGTGGTACTGCTGACCTCCTCGTGGTGCCCGCTGCCGTGTCGGGGGTGCTCCCGGCGCTCGTCGGAGCCCCCCGGGGCGGCCGTGCTGGCCGCGGCGCCAAGCATCAGGGGCGCGCTGGCAGGCGGCTAGCGGGTGGGCCGGCGGAGTCTGCGAGCAGCACTTCGGCCAGGTCTGGGTCGTCCTCCCCGGCGGCTCCCCCCAAGGCTAGGTAGCCGTCGCCCGTCAGGGTGGCCATGAGCGAGTCCTGGGCCGCGACGCTCAGGAACCCCCACCAGCGGTTGGTGTACGCGAGCTCCGCGGAGCGGCGGAGGAGGGCCGGCGCGGCCCGCGCCTTCTGCTTGGCAAGCAGGCGTACCAGCTGGAGGGAATCGCGGCCCCACCTGCCTCCGACCTCGCAGGAGAGGACCATGAGGCGGCCTGAATGGCCGGTCGTGAGTTCGTGGTACCTGCGTCGTTTGCGCCTTTCGGCCCCAAGTAGCGCGGCGCCGTCGGTGTCGAAGGTGCGCGGCCGGTGCCAGCCGTCCCTGCGGAGGGGGGACACCATGGTGCTGTCGCAGCACAGCGGGACGCCGTTCGGCGAGATGCCGTAGACGACTAGGTCTAATTGTCTGCGGTCCAGCGGGTTGTGGACAACGGCGTTAGTGTCCCGCAGCAGCTGTTGGGGGACAACTCTCCCTCCTGCTTCTCTGGCGACCCTCGCCCAAGCTCGTTCGAGCGGTTTCGCGCGTCTGGCGAGAAGCCCCGTGCGTGGGCACGCGGCTAGGTGGTCTCCCAGCGTGTCCAGCCGGGCCCGGCAGCCTGGGTGGCCGGCTGCCCCGCAGGTGTGCGGGAGGAGCGGCAGCGGGAGCCTGAGGCGCCGGCGCAGGGCTGCCAGGAACCGCGCGGGCTTGAACACGTGCCCCTCGGTGGTGGGTAAGGTGTGAAGCCAGTAGGCGGCCCTCGGTCCTGAGCCTGACCTTAGCATGGCCTGGTTGGCCCTGGTGAGGCTGGGCATGAACACGTTGTCCCTGTAGTGTGTGTTGCGTGCGGAACAAGCGTGGAACTGCCAGCCGTGCTGCCATTCCCCCGGTTCGGCGGCCTCCGAGCGCGGCGGCGCTTCTGGGCGCAGCCCCTGGAGCAGGTCGGTCCAGGAAGGTCTCCGAAAGCCTTCGGTTTCGAGCAGCTGTGCGGCCGCGGCGGCTGCGGCAAGGTTGCCCCTACGGCCGGGCCTGGTGCCGTCGAGGAGGTCCCTGATCGCTGCAGCTTCAACGGGGCGCCGTTGGTGGAGCATGTGTAGGGCGTCTGCCCAAGCGCCCCAGTAGGCCGCTGGGGACGTGCGCGCGGCGCTTTGGAGCCCGAGTCCTCCGTGTCGTCCAGGCATTGCTGCCAGTGCGCGCGCCCGTCGCTCTTCGTCTTGCGACATCGCGGGGTCCCCGAGGAGGCGGCGCAGGGTGGCCCACATGTCGCCGTCGTGGCCTCTCGCGTATTCTGCGATTTCCTCTGGCGGCAGGGTTCGCAGCAGGTGGTTGGCCCGCGGGGAGGCGCAAAGGAGGAGGAGGAGCCAAGCGCACTGTAGGTCGGGCAGGTGCGCCAGTTCGTCCAGGAGTCTCCTCTCTTCCTGTAGTCTGCTCTCCAGGTGTGCCGCGACGAATTCTGGGGTGCCTAGGGGGGTGCCAAGGATCTTGATTCCTCGGTCGGGTGGTGCTCTGTCACCCCTCCAGACGTCTTGCCCCAGCTCGCCAATTCCGGGCGGCGCTGCGCCTCCGCCCCTGCTGTAGGCCCGGCACTTGCCAAGGTGGCAACCACGTTTGCGTGGAGGTGAATTGCTCCGGTGGTGGTGTCGAAAGCGGCTCTGGCCCTGGCCCGGGTGGTCTTGATGTACACGTCGTCCAAGAAAGCGACTAGGAAGTCCCCTTGCTCTAGGGTCCTGGATGCGCCCGCCAGCGCTCCGTGCAGGGCAAGAGCGAAGAGGGCTGGGGCCAGCGCGTCCCCCTGCTCCACTCCCTCTCCCTGGTGCACGTCGTGCACAGTGTCTTGCCACACGTCGTCTGGGCAGCAGGAAAGCCTTAGAAGGCCGAGCCTCGACATGGCAGCGGTTGAAAGCCCCGACTCCATCGATGCTGACAATCACTGCCGGCCAGCTCTGGGCGAGCAAGGAGCTCCTGGAAGAAGGCCGACCTCGACACATGGTCGAAAGCCCCGACTCCATCGATGCTGACAATCACTGCGTCGTCGTCGTGGTCCAGCACTGACCTCAGCAGCATGGCGGCGCAGTCGGTTCCTGCCCGCGTCGTCAGGGCGAACTGGAAGGGCGCAGTTGCGGCCGCGAACTGCTCGGCGAACTGTTGAGCGAGCGCCCTGGTGACCAGTCGGCGGAAAACGTCGCCGGTGGCGATGCCCCGTACTCCGTTGTCTGGTTTCTGGAGCGCCGTCATCTTGCAGAGGGCTAGAGCGCGGGCAATCGGGGAGGGCACCCGCGCCTCCGCGAGGGCAGCGGCGGCGAATCCAAGCAGGTCCATGGACTCTTCGTGTTCCAGCAGCGGCTTGAGGTGCTCAACGCGGACCCCCGACGGTCCTGCTGCCGTGCCCTTTTTGGCGGACCGGAGGCAAGCGAGGAATTTGGTCTTGTCGAGTCTCGCTCTGTCGGTTGCGCGGTCGAGGTTGGCGGGTAGTCGGCGGCTCAGGGTAGGCGGTCGGCGGGCCGGGTCCCGCAGCCTGTTTAGTGTCTCCCCGTTGCCGGGCGCAATCGCCGCCGCGGTCAAGACCTGTCTCCCCCGTGACGGGTTGCCGTTTCGGACGTGCGCGCAAGCCTGTTCTCTGCGTCTCTCCTGCTGTTGCTCCTCTGTGGCTGGCCTTGGCGCTGCGCGCGCGCCGGCCGTGGTGTTGGCCTCGTGTAGCAGGGCCAGCCAGTCGCCCTGGCGGAACCGTTGGGCGCGTTCCAGGAGCTCTTGTCGGCCCTCGGCGTCGGTACCCTTGGGCTTGCTTAGCAGGAGCCTCGAGGCGAGGAGGAACAGTGTCCATCCTTGGTGGGTTGTTGCTTGGTTGCCCTGGTCGTGTCCTCGCTTGATCCTCTTCAGGGCCGTGGTGAACGCCATCCGGGTCTCCGCGCGCAGGAAACGTGGCACGTTCTGTAGTGTCGGCACGAATCTCCGGAGCTCTTGTTGGAGGTCGATGCCCCCGAGAGCTGCCCAGGACTCTTCGGTGGGTCCGTTGCTCGGGGCTGGGGCCTGCGCTGGTTCGGCCTCGTGGTCGGTCTCCTCAGTGCTGGAGTTGCTGCCGCCGTCGTTGGCGTCTCCCTCCTCCGCGCCCGTGTTTCCGCCGTCGCTGCCGCTGCTCGGGCCTCCTCCTCCCCCTTCTCCGCCGCCTCGGCCTCTTCTGGCGCCTCTTCCTCGTCTGCTTTCTCTGGCGCCTCTTCCGCTTCTGTCTCCGGGGGCGCCTCTGCCCACCACGGCGGCAGGGCCGTTCGCGCGCTGGTCTCCAGGCAGCTCCGGCTCCTGGGGCGCCTCTGGCGGTGGGAGCGGCGGCGGAGGCGCCGCGTCTGCCCAGAAGCTTGGGTTGCGCAGCTCGCTTGTGCGTGCGTCAACTCCTCGTGCAAGCACGCCGCCGCCGAAGGCTTCGAGGAGGAGGTCTTGCACCAGCGGCTGTATGTAGCCGGTGCTGCTGTGCGCCACTGCCTGGACGACTGGCGCAAAGGATACGTGCCCTGGGCGCTCTCCTCCGTCTGCAGCAAGCACCGCTGGTACTTCCCCGGGCCGAGCGTCGGTGTACGCCAGCATTTGGACAAAGGGCCCTGTTAGTACAGGTCCTGCAAGCCGCAACGTCTCTACCGTCGGCTGCCACCAGGCATGTGTGAGGCGGTGCTCACTCCACTGCGCCCCTTCGCTTGGGTCTAAAAGCCCGGCGGCTGCGAGCAGCAGGGGCACGTACACTGCGGAGTTGGTGCGTGCCTGGAGGGGCGCTTGCGGTGGGGCCCAGCCGGCGAAAGGGCTGTGTTGTGGCGGCCTCGCGGCGGCTCGCTCTGGCCCTGGCGGGGGGGCTGGTGGCGATGGCTCTGGACCTGGCGGGGCTGGTGGTGGGGCAGAAGGCACTTCTCTGGTCCATGCGTCTGGTTCGCACAGAGCGCACCTCCATTCGCCTTTGGCCGTGCTGGCTTCCGCGGTCCACGTGCCCTGCTCTAGGCACCTCGCGCACATCTGTTGGCCGCTCTGTGGCGCGATCGTGTCGACGGCGCAGCGCGCCCCGCAGCGTGGGCAAAGCCATGACTCAAGCCACTGCGTGATCATCCCGTTGGTGTCGCGTGCAGCAATCTCCGGGGACCATTCCATGCGGCGGTCTGGCACTTCGGAGAATTCGGGCGGTGGGCCGAGGCGTCGGCAGCAGAGCGCTCGGAGCAGCGGTGGCTCCCGTGGTGGTGGTTCTTCGCCTCGCGCGTAGCTTCGAAACCCATTGTAATCTGGGACGGCCTGGGCGCTGGTGTCGTGGGCCGGGGGCGGCGGTCGGTCTATGTCCACGCCCTGCGCGGCGCACCATGCCCGTAACTCGGCGGTGGTCGGGAGTCTGGCTCGGCACTGCGGGCAAGTGGTGGCTTCGCCAAGGTGGCGGGCCAAGTCGGCGCGGCAGCCCAAGTGGAAGTGGGCGCCACAGCATGCCTCCTGTGTTGGTGTGTCCCTGCCCGCCCCATGGTGCGGGATCACTTCCTGGCAGACGATGCAGATGTTGGCGTCTTCTGCCGGCGCTGGTGATCGGTCTGGCTCCTCCCGCGCTGTTGCTGCCGCTTCTGCTGCCTCGCCCTGCCTGTCGCCGTGCGGGGCGAATAAGCCCGCAAAATTCCATCCGCCTTCTGGCGCCCTCCCGAAGACGGCGCCAAAGTGGTCCGGCACGGCTGGCGCGCCAAGCTGAAACCCTGCGGCGCCAGTGTGGTGAGAGCATGCTCGTCCGGCTACGGCTGCAACGACCAGAAAGGTCCGCGATCGAAGCGCTTGCCCTACGTCAGAGCATGAGTGCAGCTACAACTGTGCTACGCTGGGTTCATTCTGAAGCGATGATAGCCGACGGACTCACGAAGTTGGAAGCTCCCGCTCTGCAAGTTACCTTGGACTTCTACGTCAAGCAGCAGTGGGCCTTGGTGCAAGACCCGAGCTTCACGTCATCCAAGCGTCGCAAGATCATGAAAAAGGACACCTTGGACACAATCGACGATGAAGATCGACCCCCTGTGGTGCGCAGCTACAGCGACGAAGACCCGGAGAGCGACTTCGAGGATGAGCAGCTGCAGACCCGCTCGAGCATGGCCGCTGCTGTCAGCACCACCGCCTCGACTGCGACCTGCAGCAAAACCACCACCAGCACCACCACCACGACAGCGACCCGCAGCACCACCACGACCACGACCAGGAGCACCACGACTGCGACCAGCAGCACCACGACTGCGACCCGCAGCAGCACCACCACGACCACGACCAGCAGCACCACCACCACCACGACCAGCAGCACCAGCAGCACCAGCAGCACCACCACGACTGCGATCAGCAGCACCACCACGACTGCGATCAGCAGCACCACCACGACTGCAACCAGCAGCAGCACCACCACGACCAGCAGCAGCACCACCACGACCAGTAGCATCACCAGCACCACCACGACGGCGACCAGCAGCCCCACGACTGCGACCAGCAGCGCCACGACTGCGACCAGCAGCGCCACGACCGCGACCAGCAGCACCACCACGACTGCGACCAGCAGCACCACCGCCACGACTGCGACCTGCAGCACCACCACGACCACGACACCGACCAGCAACACCACGACCAGCAACACCACGACACCGACCAGCAGCACCACGACTGCAACAGAGAGCAGCAGCACCGAGACTACGACCAGCAGCACCACCACGACCAGCAGCACCAGCACAACCAGCACCACGACGACTGCCACCAGCAGCACCACCACCACTACGACCAGCACCACCACGACTGCGACCAGCAGCAGCACCACAGAGACCAGCAGCACCACCACGACCAGGAGCACCACCAGCACCACCACGACCGCGACCAGCAGCCCCACGACTGCGACCAACAGCTCCACGACTGCAACTAGCAGCGCCACGACTGCGACCAGCAGCAGCACAACCACGACAACGACCAGCAATACCACCACCATGACTGCGACGCGCAGCACCACCACGACCACGACCAGCAGCACCACGACTGCGACCAGCAGCGCCACGACCGCAACCGGGAGCAGCAACACCGAGACTGCGACCAGCAGCACCACCACGACCAGCACCACCAGCAATACCACGACTGCGACCAGCAGCACCATCACGACTACGACCAGCACCACCACGACTGCGACCAGCAGCAGCACCACCACGACCAGCAGCAGCACCACCTCGACCGCGACCAGCAGCAGCACCACGACTGCTACCAGCAGCACGACGACTGCCACCAGCAACGCCACGACCACGACCAGCAACAACACCATCACGACTGCCACCAGCAGCTTCACCACCTCGACCAACAGCACCACCAGCACCACCACGACGGCGACCAGCAGCACCACGACTACGACCAGCAACAGCACGATTGCGACCAGCAGCGCCACCACGACCAGCAGCACCACCACGACCGCGACCAGCAGCACCAACACGACCACGACCAGCAGCACCACGACTGCGACCAGCAGCGCCACGACTGCGACCAGCAGCAGCACCACAACCAGCACAACCACCACGACCTCAACCCGCAGCACCACCTCGATCGCGACCAGCAGCACCAAGATGGCGACCAGTAGCAGCACCACCACGACTGCGACCAGCACCAGCAGCACTACCACCAAGACCTGCACCACCAGCACAACCAGCACCACCACGACTGCGACCAGCCACGCAACCACCACGACTTCAACCCGCAGCACCACCACGACCACGACCACGACCAGCAGCACCACGACAGCGACCAGCAGCACTACGACTGCAACCGGGAGCAGCAGCACCGAGACTACGACCAGCAGCACCACCACGACCAGCACCACCACGACTGCGGCCAGCAGAACCACCACCACTACGACCAGCACCACCACGACTGCGACCAGCAGCAGCACCACAGAGACCAGCAGCACCACCACGACCAGTAGCACCACCAGCACCAGCACGACGGCGACCAGCAGCCCCACGACTGCGACCAACAGCACCACGACAGCGACCAGCAGCACCACGACTGCGACCGGCAGCACCACCACGACCACGACCAGCAGCACCACGACTGCGACCAGCAGCGCCACGACCGCAACCGGGAGCAGCAACACCGAGACTGCGACCAGTTGCACCACCACGACCAGCACCACCAGCACCACCAGCAATACCACGACTGCGACCAGCAGCACCACCACGACTATAACCAGCGCCACCACGACTGCGACCAGCAGCACCACCACCACGACCAGCAGCAGCACCACCTCGATCGCGACCAGCAGCACCACCACGACTGCTACCAGCAGCGCTTCGACTGCCACGAGCAACACCACGACCACGACCAGCAGCAGCACCACGACGACTGCCACCAGCAGCGTCACCACCACGACCAACACCACCAGCACAACCAGCACCACCACGACGGCGACCACCAGCACCACCACGACTACGACTCGCACCGCCACGACTGCGACCAGCAGCAGCACTACCACGACCGCAGCCAGCAGCAGCACTACCCCCACGACCACGACCAGCAGCAGCACCACCACGAGTGCGACCAGCACCAAGTCCTACCGGCAACACGGCCCCCAGCAACGACGGGCACCACCTGCAACGACCAGCAGCAACGACGCGCATCTGCACGACGACGCGCACAGACGGCGCCCACCGCCCCTTCCCCTAGCCTTTCCCTCGGCCTCTGTCCCCTCGTCTCGGCCCCGTCTCGCGCCACCCCCGCCTGGAGTCCAGGCCTGGCCGCGCCCGCGAGACAAGGTAGCAGCGGCAGCAGGCTATGGCGCTGCTGATTCCCAAACTCGGGCCCAACGTTATCTGTTGCATCGGTGGGACCAGCGCACGTGCGAAAAATGGGCAGCGGCAGCGGCAGCGAGCCAGGGAGGAGAGCGAGGCGGCAGAGGAGGAGGAGAAGGCAGCGGACGAGCAGGGCCAGGTCGAGGAGGAGGAGGAGGAGGAGGAGGAGGAGGAGGAGGAGGAAATCGCGCTCGACGTCAGCGGATACAATGCCGATATCAGCGCTCTCGACAAAACTCGAAAAACGCGCACCTGCAC